TTCGCGATGACAGTCGCAGTGGCAACGGCAGTCGCACTCACAGCCTCAGCCTCAGCCTCAGCCTCAGCCTCAGCCTCAGCCTGCCTCAGCCTCAGCCTCGGCCTGCTTCAGCCTCAGCCTCAGTCTGCCTTCAGCCTCGGCCTCAGCCTCAGCCTGCCTCAGCCTCAGCCTGCATCAGCCTCAGCCTCAGCCTCAGCCTGCCTCAGCATCAGCCTGCCTCAGCCTCAGGCTCAGCCTGCCTCAGCCTCAGCCTCAGCCTGCTTCAGCCTCAGCCTCAGTCTGCCTTCAGCCTCGGCCTCAGCCTCAGCCTGCCTCAGCCTCAGCCTGCCTCGGCCGCAGCCTCATCAGCCTGCCTCAGCATTCAAAATGTGGCCCAGGAATGGAGTTCTGGGAACTAGAAGAACACGAAGTGGCCTACAGTTGGCTCCGGGCATTCAAAATCATGCCCAGGAATGGAGTTCTGGGAACTCGAAGAGCACGAAGTGGCCTACAGTTGGCTCCGAGCATCCAAAATGTGGCCCGGGAATGGAGTTCTGGGAATCGAAGAGCACGAAGTGGCCTACAGTTGGCTCCGGGCATTCAAAATGTGGCCCGGGAATGGAGTTCTGGGAACTCGAAGAGCACGAAGTGGCCTACAGTTGGCTCCGGGCATTCAAAATGTGGCCCGGGAATGGAGTTCTGGGAAGTCGAATAGCACGAAGTGGCCTACAGTTGGCTCCGGGCATTCAGAATGTGGCCCGGGAATGGAGTTCTGGGAGGTCGAAGAGCACGAAGTGTGTGACTGTTTGCAAAAAACGAATTTGGACACGAGTTCGGACACAGCTCCCCTGGTCCCGCCCCGACCCCCCTGTGGAGTCATCTGCTGCTCTCTTTTGACACCACTAGAAACCTATCAGCAAAAGCTGTTAGGTAATCACGACGGGAGGATTTCGCTACCGTCGGACTTGATTGGAGAGGGCACGCGAGAGGACACAAGATCCTTTCCGAGGGGCACACTGCCACAGGAATGCAGGAGGCATGGGTCGCGAGACACAGGACACAAGGGTACCCTTGACTTGACAAGGTCGACCTACTAATCCGGGCCGACTGTATTTGGGGTCTCTAGGGGCCCTTGCCGGACATCGGAACCGTCAAGAAAAACGACTCAGGATGAAAAGCCGATCCTGGGGAATGGGTCGAGACCTCCGGAGTCGACGTTCTGAACAAATCATGACGTCGGCGGTCTGGGTCTCCACGTGATGGATGGTGTCGGTGCGGCCAGGCCAGCACTTGGGGCCCGCAGCTGCTGCTCAACGCTTGATGCCCTCATCCTTCTCCTCCGTGCTCCCTCCACCTTCTCCCTGATTGTTACCATCGCTCCTTCTTGTCCTCCCTCATCCCTCACCCTCCTCCTACCTCGTCCTCCTCCTCCTCCTCCCTTCCAGCCATCCTCTCGCCCTTCTGCCTCCTCCTCCTCCTCCTCCTTTTCCATCTCCCCCTACTGTTTCTTTCTCATACCTGCTCCCCCCTCCTCACTAATCCTCCTCTTCCTCCTCTTCCTACTCCCTCTGCTTCTCCTCCTCCCACCTCCAACTCTCTCCCCTTCCCCTAATCTCTTTAGTGGGACAGCCCTGCCAATGTCTGGGGAGAGCCCGAGAGTACCACCCGCGCTGTTTCCCCCCCTTCGTTTTCCTCCCTCCTTTCTCCCCCTGCCTTTCCTCCCTTAGCGCTCCTCTCTCCTTCTCCCACCTCCGCCCTCTCCTCCTCCCCCTCCTCCTCCTCCTCCTCCTCCTCCTTCCTTCTCTCCCCTTCTCCTCCTCCTCCTCCTCCTCCTCCTCCTCCTCTGCCTCCTTCTCTCCTCCCTCCCCCCTCCCTCCTCCCTCCCAATACCTCCCTCCCATCCTCCCTCCCTCCCTCTCCTCCCTCCCTCCCCTCCCGCCATCCCCCTCCCGCCCCTCCCCCTCCTCCTTCCTCCTCCCTCCCTCCCCCCTCCCTCCCTTCCCTCCCTCCCATCCCTCCCTCCTGCTCTCGGGCCTCGCCCCGCCAGCCCGTGGCGTCCGGACAAGTGGCCGGGCGCGCTTGCACCTCACGCGCGCGCCGACGCGGGTCGGTCTGCTCAGAAGGCGGAGGACATCGTCTTGTCTGGCAGCGCCGGCCTCCCACAGCCGAGGAGGAGGAGGAGGAGGAGGAGGAGGAGGAGGAGGAGGAGGAGGAGGAGGAGGAGGAGGAGGAGGAGGAGGAGGAGGAGGATGAAGAGGAGGAGGAGGACGTGGAGGAGGAGGAGGAGGAGGAGGAGGAGGAGGAGGAGGAGGTAGGAGGAGGAGGAGGAGGAGAGGAGGAGGAGGAGGAGGAGTGGGAGTGGGGGAGGAGGAGGAGGAGGAGGAAGAGGAGGAGGAGGAGGAGGAGGAGGAGGAGGAGGAGGAGGAGGAGGAGGAGGAGGAGGGGGAGGAGAGGAGAGGAGGAGGAGGAGGAGGAGGAAGAATGAGGAGGAGGAGAGGAGGAGAGGAGAGGAGGAGGAGGAGGGGGAGAGGTGGGAGGAGGGAGGACATACGGCCGGGAGCTTTTCACAAGGCGTCGCGGTGGCGGCCCTGGCGACACGCCGTGCCCTGCGAGCGGACAGCGGGTCGCTCCGCTCCGCCGGGCGGGATGCTCGGACAAGCTCGGGCGTTGACGCGTGGGAAGGGAAGGGTGGTTAGCGCGTCGCGGCGAGGCGTCGTGGGCCAGCACCAGCGGAACGACACGCTATCCCAAAGTTCCGGACCGTATGCAAGAGGAGCCAGCAGTGGATAGGCGAGCAGCTGAGGATAGGAGCACGGGCCACGTTGAGGAGGAATCGGAGGAAAGGAAGGGAAGGAGTGATAGGGATGATCTGATTGATGATGCTGATGGTGGTGATGATGGTGATGAGGATGATGATGATGGTGATGATGCTGATGGTGATGAGGATGATGACGGTGATGGTTATGATTACTGTAAACAATCGTGGCATTTACAGCCAGACAGAACAAACACATCCGCTTGATCCTCTCTCGCCCTTGTTGCGAATGCAACGATGATCGAGGACGCGATCGGCAAGGCAGCGGCTATGTAATGGCAGCATCGAGCTAGCACGGATTACAGGCGAGAGCGAATGACGGCGGCGCAGCAGCTGGCGAGAGCACGGGCGTGCATCTCACGATGGAAGCAGATAGGGAAATTCGACTTACAAGCCCTCATGCGATGGAACGTACGATGCACAAGCTCGACAGAGATGGCAATAGACAAGAACTCAGATTCAGTGGACAATAAGTTCAAACAGATGAGGGAGGAACCGACGGCGGGGATCACCGAAGAGGAAGGCCACAGAAAGCTGCGGTAACACATGGCTGAGATCATTCACAGCAAGAAGAAACTGGCAAGCATGGGGAACCATACCAGAAACATGGGCTCCACAACCAGATCTGCATACCGTGATCAGCTGACGAAGCCTCGAGGAAGTCGCCATGCATTCGCCGCAGTTTTGACGTCGCTCGCGATGATGCAGCACGGCAGCTTCTTGGAAATCATCTGCAAACTAATCAACAATATCGTGGCATCAGCCGTGGTGGCGCCATTGTTCGCGAACCAACAGCTCAGGCGAGGCTGCAAGTAGGTCGTCGTACTCTCCGCGGGGAGGCGCAGCTGACGAAGGACTTGACCTTGGACGTCGTGCTTCAATTGGCCGCCAGGAGCGCAGCAGATGCGACTGAGATGCCGCCAGTTATAACCTAACAAATGAAACGCATTCTGCAGCAAGCGAAGGGGATGCGCATGATGGGGTCTCCGATTTACGCCATCGATCTTTTCATCATACCATTCAAACATGTTCCCGGATGGGCCAGGCCGGCAAATCAACCTATACTGCGCCGCCTTCGCGTACTTGTCGATGCCGTTGGCATTGACGGAGAGCCGATGTCCTTCAACCACCAGAACATGCCAAGGTCCAGCACATGACGAGGCCAATCAATGACGGCATGTTGGCCCTCCCACTGAGCCGAAGGGACCGGCTTCGCTGGCGCGATGAACTGAACCGCGTAGGTCAGCACACTCACGGCCAGGAACTTGTAGCTCATGACAGCTTGCGTGCAACCAGCCGCCAGACGACGACAGAAGGTGATGCGAGTGTGATACTTCTCTCATGGTGCCACCCAGCTCTCCTCGAAGTCGTCTTCGCCGATGCGGATGCCCAAGCACGTGCTGGGCTGCGAAAAAAACCCGATTCCTCACGTTTATGCTTGAGCGCTGGAATCGCCAAATCGTCTTCTCTGGCGGCCTGGAGTGGTGGCGCGCCATGCCCGTCTTGGCGGAGCTCACACAGAGGCCAGTGGCGAATCCGCAGCTGATCAGCACCACGAAGAAAGCGGCCACGGCGCTAATCAGATCTCTCGATACGTGAGCCGTGTCGTCTGCTAAGCACTTCAAATCAACGAGACTGGCCGAGGGAAGATGCTGTGCGTGCTCCGGACGACTGGGTCTAGCGTAATGCGGAAATCGTACCTGACATTGGGCAACATTGTCTGATGCCAGACTTTACCACGAGGCCCTCGGAGATGCTACCCGCGAAAGCCACGCGGATGTGCATGTGCTCGTATAGCATGCGAATGCTGTGGGTGATACAACCAGAAAGGCTCACGACCGTGAGAACCCAAAAGGGTTCGGAGTGGGCGAGGCTCGGGAATGCGGCCTTCAAGTAACATCGAACTACAATCAGGATAACCCTCAATACGCCCCCAAATCGTGAACGACGACGAGACCTCGCCCATGTTACCCACAATCTGCTGGGCCTCCACGAAGCCCGTCTGGGCCAAATCGACCGTGTATTGTGCTTGTTGTGCAAACCCAGTGCCAATCGCGTGCGAGATGAGCTTGTTGCCAGTGCTGGATAACGAGAGCGGGCGAAATGCAGCAGGTGCGCGCGATGTCCATGCATCTCCGCGGAAGTAGCTTCTTAGGGAAGAGCATCATGAAACACTCGTTAAACTAATCGAGAAGTTCCTCGCCCTTTAGCGTACGGCAGTACATCTTATTGAACATACCACTAGCATCCTCACGACCATAATGCTCCTCCTCCTCCTCCTCCTCCTCCTCCTCCTCCTCCTCCTCCTCCTCGTCTGCCTTCCATCCTCCTGCTCCTCCTCCTCCTCCTGTTCCTCCTCCGTCTCCTCCTCCTCCCCCCCTCCGGCGCACCCCCCCCCTCTCCCCGACGACTCCGCCCCCCCCCCAAAAAAAAAACCCTCGAGGCGACCCTGATGCGACCTCGACGACGGCGGTGGCGCCGCCGCGGCGGCCCGCGGGCGTGGCCTGGAGTCCAGGGGGTCCGGGAACATGTTGCCGCCCCAGGTGCCCGCCCAGCCGCCGCCGAGGCCGCCGCCCGTGCCGTCCTCCGGGGGGCGCCCCCCCCCCCGTCGCCGAGAGCGGCGCGCCGCGGCCCGCCGCCTCGCCCCGGCCGGGGCTCCGCCCTCCTCTGCTGGAAGGGGCGGAGGGGGGGGGGGCCCGGGAGGAGCGCCACGCCCGGATATCAGGGGCGCCTCCACGTCTTCGGGCCGGGCGGCTCGGCGTCGGGCGTCGGGGCCCTGGCAGCTCGACGCTCGACCCGGCTCGGACAAAAAGAAGAAGCAGAGAGAGGGGGTCCGGGGCTCCGGACGTGATTTTGTCACGATGTCTCCATGTCTTCTCAGGGAGCCAGGTGCGCTTGCTCCAGATCTGAAGTCCGAGGGGCAACGATATGGGGGGGACTGGCACAGGGGGGGGGGCGCATCGACCTGGAATCTGCGATACGTCGCCGACGGATCGGCGAGAGGCCGCCGATAGCGGCACCGCGCCTTCCTGGGCGGCTTGGGGCCGTCGGGCCCCTATCAGCGATCAGTGGGCGATCTGGGGTCGATGCGTCCGCCCATATGCATACATCGGCGCTCCAAACGTTTATTCCGATTTGAAAGGCACGGCGCCGCGCTAATGCAGCGCAAACGCTATGCTGGAAGGGAGCGGCAACGCATGCCCCCTGGACAGGAGCGAGCAGCCGCGCCCCCGTGCGAACCCCGATCCCGCGCGGGGCGCGTTTCCGTTGAAACCGTTTCTTGTGCAGGAAGTTCTGAGCGGTTCCGGAGGAGCATGACCTCCTCCCCTTCGGGGATCTGCTGACCCGGGTCAAGCCAGACCTGGGTCAAACAGGCCTTGCAGGATCCTGCAAGATCCTGCAGGATCCTGCAGGATCCTGCGCCCATGTCTGGGCCAATGCACCCCTGGCCCTGCAGGATCCTGCAGGATCCGGCGCTCTGACTGACCCCCGTTGGCATTGACCCCCGTCCCTTGAGCCCCGACCCCCCTTCTTGGAGGCGCCCTCGGCGGCGCAGCGCGCCCCTCGCTAGCGTGGGGGGCCGAGCGTGCACGGTTTCCCACGGGGCCGTAGGCGACCCGAGGAGGAGGAGGAGGAGGAGGAGGAGGAGGAGGAGGAGGAGGAGGAGGAGGAGGAGGAGGAGGAGGAGGGAGGAAGGAGGGAGGAGGGGGAGCGAGAAGGATGAGTGAGGAGGAGGAGGAGGAGGGGAGGAGGGGAGAGGAGGAGGAGGAGGAGGAGGAGGAGGAGGAGGAGGAGGAGGAGGAGGAGGAGGAGGAGGAGGGGGGAGGGGGAGGAGGAGGGGGAGGGGGAGGAGGGCAAGCTAGGTGCGCTCGGCTCATATCTGACATCCTTACCCTCCCTCCACTGGCGCTTATTTTCTCATCCGCGGCGCGTGTCGTGAGCGGGACCCTGTGGGCTCCGCGCCGCGTGCGTAGGGGTGGTGGGCGCGTGCGTGCGTTTGCGGCGTGGCGTGTGTGCGTGGTTGTTGTTGTGGTGGTGGTGGGTGGTGGTGGTGGTGGTGGTGGTGGTGGTGGTGGTGGTGGTGCGGCGCGGTGGTGGCGGGCGGATGGGCGCGCGAGAAAGAGGCCCGCGCTGGGGCGAGAACGCCATCCTGAACGACGGAGGCCAAACACCGATCCGAAAATGAGGCCCACGCTGCAGCGGGAGCACGATTCGGAACGATTCGGGAGCAGAAGTGAGGCCGGCGCCTCAGCGAGAGCACATTTTGAAAAAAACGCAGGCGAAAACCCAACTCCCGGGAATCCTGTGTGTAAAAAAACAGTACGCGGGGGGGGTCGGCTACTTTCAGGCCGCCATCGGGGGAAGAGGGAGAGTAGTATTCATATTGAGTAATTGTGGAGGAGGAGGAGGAGGAGGAGGACGAGGGAGGAGGAGGAGGAGGAGGAGGAGGAGGAGGAGGAGGAGGAGGAGGAGGAGGAGGAGGCGGAGGCGGAGGCGGAGGAGGATGAGGAGGAGGAGGAGGAGGAGGAGGAGGAGGAGGAGAAGGAGGAGGAGGAGGAGGAGGAGGAGGAGGAGGAGGAGGAGGAGGAGGAGGACGGGTCGCCCAAGCCCTTCGGAGAAAACCTCCAGGCGGTCATGGGTGACCGACTTTGGGGAGAGCAGAAAAAGGCCCTGAAGGGACCCTGTAGGGCTCGTTTGGGGCACCAGCTGGCTCCAACAGGGGCCTTACAATGCCCCTTTAGGGCCCATTTCTTCACCACCCATTTGGGTCACCCCCGATTGCCACCCACCCGACCCCCCCCGTGGTCTTGCGGTCGTGGGGATCCGGTAGAAGGAAGCAACTGGTGGACGCTCCCCCTCGCCCATGAGTATTCGAAGTTGGCACGCGCGGAGAAGGCCTGCGGCCGAAGTGCAGCTCGTGTAACTTACTGTCAACTTTGATCATTCGAGGGGGCATTGACAGTTGAATGTGGCATTGGTATTCGCTGAATGTTCGCTAATCTCTTCAGAGGCCCGTCCGTAGAAAACAGCGTATGCGAATGACCTTCATCCGATGCCTCTGTTAGGCTGAAGAGCCCCTGGAGATGGCGAAACCTGTCTACTTTGGGCATGCAAACACACATCAACATCCGTGTTTGCTTGATTGTCCTTTCGATCGGGTATGGGCACACGCAGGAATCTTAGACAACTGCTCGCGCAGCTTCGGCCCCCCCCTCGTACTCCTGCTATGCTAGGGCCCAACGCGTGGGAGGAGGAGGCGGAGGACGAGGAGGGTAGGGTGAGGCTGCGCATCAGTGGCGTTACTGGCGGGAAGGCTCACTACAGAACCCTCTGTGCTACCGAACTCCGCTTCAGCGTATCCTTCCTCGGCATACCTAGCCAGAACAACTTCCAACTCTGCAGGCCCACAATCAGTGACATGGCTGCGCAACTGACCCACCCGACGGCCCACTGCTATCGTGATGTCCGCTGTGACAGCCCATAGGTGGGCAACATCCGAGACGCTTTTCAATGCTGTCCCTGCCATGGCAAGCTCGTCTGCCTCGGCATTCGCTCGTTTGTCGGGCCGCCGTGAGCGAGGGCCTTGTGGACAATAACGTCGCACGGCATAAGCACCCTCGGAATTTCCCCAAACCAGTGCGGAAGATCCGTCGACCGCGGTGACAGTCCTAATGCCGCCGCTCACGACGACTGATCTGTGCTTGTGTGAGCACTGCTAAGGCTTTGTACACCGTGACCAGCTCTGGCATGGGCCTCCATTTGTTGATGCCAACTTTCCCCCACAGCAAACTGCATCAGTATGGAACTTACACTGGTACTCTGGCTCCTCGACTGCTTGCCCTGGCCATGGCCCCAGATGGGTGAGCTGTCAAGGGGGCCTCGAAGCCCCACCACTGCAGAACCTGCAAGCCCAGGAGGAGGATGAGCAGGAAGAGGCACCGTCTTATCTAGCATCCGTCTGCGTAGGATGTCACATCTAGCCAGACGATGTCCTCGCGAACCTCGGAATCCGCGAGAAACAGGTGAAGACTTTTCCCCCTGCGACGTCTAATATGGCTTCGCGCTCCAAGGCTTCGCATCGAGCAACGATGATCGCCCAGGCACGTTTGGCCCAAGGAGTGGCGGAGGAGAAGGAGGAGGAGGAGGAGACGGAGACGGAGACGGAGGAGGAGGAGGAGGAGGAGGAGGAGGAGAAGGAGGAGGAGGGAGACGGAGGAGGAGGAGGAGGACCAATGTAAACCCAAGCGTCATCAATGATGTTGGAATAAACCCTCCCTCCAAGCTCCCTCTTCACAAGCCGCTGCAACGGTTCATTCCCATTGAAAGAACTGCCTCTTTGGAAGACAACTGGTTTAAGACCCTGAAGCATGCCAAAACATGGTTCTCGGGATTTCAACGCCACGGATCATCCTGACTGTTGCGTCTTGACAACCATGAACCGTGCCAGAACACCATTCTTGGGACTTCAACACAACGAATCAACAGAACTGTTGCGCCCGCGTAATCCTGAATCCTTTCGAAACACAATTTCTGGCACTTTAGCGATGGGAGCCCGCGACACCCGTGCACTTTTTAGAACTCCATGTGCGCCGCGCTCCGGCGAGATGCACATTTTGAAAACGACCAGCCCTCAATCCGTGAAGCTCTGGCAGATTTTAAGGCGCATGTGCGCCGAGCTTAAGTGAGAACCGCATGTTGAAAGCGACCCGCCCTCAATCCGTGAAACTCTTGCAAATTTTAAAACGCATGTGCGCCACGCTAAGGCGAGAACCACATGTTGAAAACGACCCGCCCTCAATCCGTGAAGCTCTTGCAAACTTAAAAACAATGAATGTGCACGGCGCTCAGGCGAGAACCCTATGTTGAAAACGACCCGCCCTCCATCTGTGAAACTGTTGCCAATGTTTAAGCTTCAAGGTCATACGTGGTGAGGAAGTCTCAGGCGAAAAGCCGTGCCCGCCCTAAAAACTTGCCTCGGGGTGCGACAGGGGGAAATTATTTATAAGGAACAGGACTGGAGGAGGAGGAGGAGGAGGAAGAGGAAGAGGAGGAGGAGGAGGAGGAGGAGAAGGAGGAGGAGGAGGAGGAGGAGGAGGAGGAGGAGGAAGAGTCACCGTCTTATCTAGCATCCGTCTGCGTAGGATGTTACATCTAGCCAGAAGAAGCCCTCGCGAACCTCGGCATCCCCGGGAAAAAGGTGAAGACTTTCCCCCTTGCGACGTCCAATAGGTCTTCGCGCTCGAAGGCTTCGCATCGAGCAACGATGACCGCCCAGGCACGTTTGGCCCATGGGGGTGGCGGAGGAGAAGGAGGAGGAGGATGAGGAGGAGCAGGAGCAGGAGCAGGAGCAGGAGGAGTATGAGGAAGGAGGAATGAGGGAGAAGGCGGAGGACGGAGGGGGACAATTAAAGAGAGGAAGAAAAGCGGGTGGAGGGATGTCGCTGCCCTTCCCGCTCCTCTCCCCCCCCTCGGCCATGTCTTCCTGCTCCCCATCATGGTTTGCTTTGCGCCGACGGTGGGTAGGTGGCAACCTGCTGAGTTATAATCTTTCCTCATCCTTCTGCTGTTGCGATCGCCAAACCTTCGATCTATCCTCGTCGTCCTCTTACTCCTCTTCTCGCTCCTCATCCTCCCTTCTATCCCCCTCACGCTCCGTCTCTTCCTCCCGAGCCCGCACTCTTGTCATCCCCCTTTCTCTCTCCTGCTCCTCCCAGACCGCCAACTTTCTCTCCCCGTACCATCCACAATCACCACTGGCGCTGCATACCTGGATCTGCCGTCTCTTACCAGGAACGACTTCTGTGTTCGCTGGTTTGCGACCAAGGCTGAACATCCTCGCCGGTGCCATTCCCATGTTTCGTTTTGGGGGTCATGCGGCTGCTCAGATGTACGCACCTTGCACTTTGTAATACACTCATAACTTGTGTTAATAAGTTATTTGTTAAGAAATTGAGACCCAACTTCGGTGAATTTCTTAACCCCGGTGCGAAACCCAGCTTTCGTCCCCGAATTTCTTAACGAATCGGGTGTTGCCACGCGACCACCGGCACAGCCAACCAGCACGACCACCGAGAACCACCACCCAGCAAGACCACCCAGCACGGTCGCGGCTGCCCGGGCGCAAGCTCCACCAACATCTTCGCAGTCGGGCGCCCCCAAGAATCCTGCGGAACCTGGTCGCAGACCTGTGCTCGACCACGGGCCGCCGGGGCAGCCCAGGACAGCTCGGACAGGGGACGCCCCCGGGGCGGCGGTCCTCGCCCCCCGGTGTCTTGACCCCCTTTGATAGAGTGCAGTGATGTCGGACCCTTCGCCGAAGGGCGTCTTCGACTTGCCCTGGGCTCGCCGTCGCTCGGACGTCCATTTCCCGTGCATGTTTCGGTTTCGTGCGTGTTTTTTTTTTGCTCGTTGGTCGAGGATGGTCCTCGATGGTTCTCGCCGAGAAAAAATGCACACGTCCAAGCGATGCCAGGTGGGCTGTGGTGTCGATCGCGCGCGCGCCGCGGCGGGGCCGAGAGGCGCCTCGATGGGGTCGTTGATGATGTCCAGCGGCATGTCGCGCCTGGACTGGGCGGTCTGTATGTTGTAGAAGAGCTGGACGCCGTTCTCGTCGACGAAGCTAAACCAGGGGCTCCGCGCCTGGTGGTGGGGGGGGGACGGCGGAATACCTACAGTCGGGGCGTTGACCTAAGGAACCCTAAATAAGGAACGAGGCCCCTTTTTTCCATAAGTTAAATTTCGATTTCCAATCGAAGACATAAGGAAAACCTGAGGCAAGCTGTGAAACACTTAAGGAACGCGGAGCCCCTCCCCAACTTAAGGGCCCCGACTGTAGAGTGGGGAGGACCGGGGAGGACTTGGAGGGGAGGCGGAGTGGACGGGGAGGACCAGGGTAACAACAGATAGCACGCACGTGCACTTTCGGAGGTCCCATGGGACCTCTGAAAACTACAACTTTGTATGGTTGCTCTCGAAGGCCTGGAAAGGGGGGGAGAAGGTGGGAAGGCGAATGTCGGGACGGAGGGGAGCCTAACAGAGGGGGATCAAGACGCAGCTGCATGCGGCCGGCCAGGCACGCGTCGAGGAAAGGGAACGGGGCCCGGTGGCGGAGAGGCCGAAACCGGGGCTGAACGCAGCAGATTGCGCCCCCCCCCCTACCGATCCCCCCGCCCTCCGTCCAACCCGAGATGGGGCGGCGAACGGGGAGCGTGGGGGGGAGGGGGAGGAGGAGGAGGAGGAGGAGGAGGAGGAGGAGGAGGAGGAGGAGGAGGAGGAGGAGGGGGGGGAGGATGAGGAGGAGGATGAGGATGAGGATGAGGATGAGGATGAGGATGAGGGATGAGGATGAGGATGAGGATGAGGAGGAGGAGGAGGAGGAGGGGAGGAGGAGTAGGAGAGTGTGGGGGAGGAGGAGGAGGAGGAGGAGGAGGAGCGTGGGGGTGGGGGGGTGCACGGGCGCGGAGGGGGGACTGGGGGGTGGGAGGCGGCGGGGCTGGGGGAGGAGGCAGGCTGGCGTGCCCCGCTCCAGGGGGCGCTCGCTCTCGCCCTCCGCCTCCCTCTGCCCTCTTTTCCTC